CACAATCCCGCAGGGATAATCACAAGGGAGGAGTTCGACCAGCTGAGGGGGGAGCTCGATGCTCAGGTGGAGGCCTTAAAGGCCAAATGTGAGCAGAAAGACGATTCGCTGAACGATGGCGACTTGGGAGAATCGCCTTTCACCTCGGACGTTTTGGAAGCACCAATCCCTCCGAAGTTCAAAGCTCCTACCGTGAAGCCTTATGACGGGACGAAGGACCCCAAAGACTATGTTGAGGTCTTTGAAGGCCTCATGGACTTCCAAGCGGCATCAGACGCAATCAAGTGCCGCGCCTTTCAGATCGCGCTTACTGGCAGCGCGCGATTGTGGTAYCGGAGATTGCCAGYCAGGTCRATCTCAACCTACTCTCAGCTGAGAAGGGAGTTCCTCGCCCAGTTTTCTTCTCGGCACTATGACAAAAAGACAGCGACCCAYCTCGCCACCATCAGGCAGAAGGAGGGTGAGACGCTGCGAGAATATGTCACCAGATTCCAGGAGGAGCAGTTGAAGGTTGCACACTGCTCCGATGACTCGGCCATGTGCTATTTCCTCACCGGTCTAGCCGACGAAGCCCTCACGGTGAAACTTGGAGAGGAGGCCCCGGCCACCTTCGCCGAGGTGCTTCAGAAGGCGAAAAAAGTCATCGATGGACAAGAGCTTCTCCGAACCAAAACCGGCCGACCGGAGCGAAAGATCGGCCGGGGCAGAAGTGGGAAAGATGTAGAAAGGGCAGATCCCAAGTCCAAGGACAAGGGATCCTTTTCCAGCGGCCGAGCTGAGTATCGAAGGGCGGAGAACGGGCCTACCAGGAGCCGACCTTATGAGCGCTTCACCCCGACCACGATTCCAATTTTCGAGATCCTAACAAACATCGAGGAATCTGGGATGGAAAAACTACTCAAGCGTCCTGAGAAGCTTCGGGGAGCCCCGGAGAGGCGCAGCAAGGACAAGTATTGCCGCTTCCATCGGGAGCACGGCCATAACACGTCAGACTTCTGGGAGTTGAAGCGCCAAATTGARGATCTAATTCAAGATGGCTACTTCAAGAAATTTGTGGGAAAGCCCAGGACCAGCTCAGCAGAGAAAAAGGAAGAGCGAAAGCGTTCAAGGACGCCGCCCCGGCGCACTGACCGACCTGCGGTCATTAATACCATTTTTGGAGGGCCAAGCGGGGGTCAGCTCGGACATAAAAGAAAGGAGTTAGCCCGTGCAGCCAGGCGCGAGGTGTGCATCATCAGGGAGCAGGGGCCGACCTACCCAATCACCTTCGACGGTG